GATAAGTGTAACAAACGCGCATACAGTCCACCTGATGGTAAATGGTTGCTGTGACCCATAGACATCTACATCTAGCCTCGATTACGAATCAAAATGCAAATGCATTATCACCCGTGAGGACTAAGATGGAATACCTCCTTTCCAGTAAAAAGATTCTTCTTTTATCTACACTCACCATACGAAACGAAGCAGCATTAACTGCTATTTTTCGCTGGTGTTTTGTGAGAGCGTGGTCCTTCCTCGGTCGAGCCGACCCATTCTTGCTACAACTAGGCTACTAATGTAGCTTCAGTATGGCTCTACCACGGAACTACCAAATGCAAGACATTGTTATTTTCAAATAAGACATTTTTTTTAATATTCTTTGATAAAATACAAATAAAATAAAGCCCATGATTTTTACGATAAATGTAATATTTCGGTGATACGAATTTTTAAACTTTTGAAAAATTTAAATTCTGATACTTTTGACCGATTAAAACTACATTAAAAAAAATATAAAAAAATTATTAATTCTCATTAGGATCAGCACCGCTTACGGATTAAAGCATTTTTTTTTGTTTTTAAAAGATATATTGTTGTTCTTAGAATACATGAGAGCCTTTGGTCATTTAAATTCAAAACAAAACCAAATTCTAGCGGAGTTCTAAGTTGTGTCATAATATTTCCTAGCAAATTTGTTAGAGACAATGATGTACGCATAATATCGGAAGTAGAATTGCATCGCCACGATAGACATTGCGGCACATATCGCATTTTGTATGTATAGCACAGTAGTTACATAAGAACGCTTTCTTTAACCGTGTGCCTGGCGCAACGGCGGCCGACGCGATGTGTTACAAATGTTACAATATCGCACAGCTATTAGCAATGCGCAATGACTCTGCCAATTGCCGATAAAAGATAGATATCGTTGAAAAAACGCAATATAATTTGATTGATTTTCGAACGGATTGCATCCTGTCTAAAAATGAAGTTTCCGTTCAATAATTAAAGCCTATAGAATGCTAGAGAAAGTCATGACTTTTTATATACGCAATAAAGTTATAATTTTGAGTCAATATTATTTATATAAATTTATTAGCCAGCTAGGTAGACATTGTTCTGTCCTTTACGATAACAATTTGAAAAAATCCTAAAAAAATTCTAAAAATTCAGAATAAAAATAGTTGGGTCAAATTTATCAAGATATATCTCTCAAACTGTAACAAGCAATACACACTTACAAAATTTTATTTAAACCAACGAGCAATGTCAGGACCCGGCAGTACAGAGCATTTCCGTAGTAGGAACCGTTCCCTATAGGAATCACTATGCAACTTAAAATGAGATATTAATATATACTATTAATCATTTCAGAGTTTAAAAACTTAAACGACACGCACATGTCGTCATTGGTTGTAAATACGTCTGCAAAATTTCAGATTATTCAGACGCCTGAAAATAGGTGAAAACTGATTTATAAAATTATATTTTACATTTATACATACATATGTATACATACATTTCAAGCTTTTTTTCCTTTTCACTATATATATTTTAAATAACGTTCAATTTATGTTACAAAAATTATAATAAAGAACTTAACTAAAATAATAATTAAAATTATAATATTTACGATTAAAACTAATTATATACAATATAAAAGAAGAAACTATAAAAGCTAGAAACTACTAAGAAATTTAAATCGTCAAAAAGACCTGCTCCCCGTGGTATAGTGCCAAGAACGCTGGCTGCGTTTCCTCGCTGAATAGCTATACTTAGCCTTTGAGCGAGGAGAGAACCAGCCCTCTTATCACCAGCAGCGATGACCAGTCGTGGAAAAAGTTCCTTTAGAAACTTCATTGCACGTAGACCCCATGGACCGATAGTCTCTACAGCAAATGGCACAAATATGTAGTCATTTCTCAAAGACTCATATTTGCGCCATTTACTAAATTCGGCTGCCTCTGATGCTGCCCCGGCTCTAAAAGGGGTACCCCTGAGATGAGAGGTCGCCAAAGTGTCGACGCAAGTAGCATCCCACACTAGGACTTTACCTCTCTCCCAAGGGACCAAAGTCATACCATCGGGTCTCTTGCCATCGTCTTAAATATCCCGCAAGGCTCTAAAACCGAGGGGATATTTATAGAGACAAGAGCCCTTCGGATGATTTCGTTCAAAGAAGCGTCACGGGAAAACCTACCTACACTTTTCTTGCATGAAAGTCCGTGGAGCCCAAACTCATCGACGCTGTTACCACAGGGGCACTGGTGAGGTTGACAAATAGCCACTCCTAGCCGGATTTATACGGCGATGCGCAAGCTTTCCCCATCAAGCAATGTGCCGAGATTACTTGATGGTAGAGCATGTAACTAGTGGCTAGATTTCTTAGTCGAAACAGCTAGAAGGCGAGCCTGATCATGTTGAATATGGAAATTTTGAAATAAATTTTTCTGGACACTCCGTACCAACGGAATATCCCACTGTTTATGTTGGTTAACTTCCAGTGGGACATTTTCGCCGGGACAGAGCGTTAGCCATGTTTGCTTTGCCTCCGCAGCAAAGCACAGGTCTACTTTATTATTTAAAATTGTGTTACATAGGTCATTGACACTATGCACGGAAGCAAGGAAAGCAGGCAATGCGACGCTAGAAATATTTCTTACACCAATTCCACCAAATTTGATAGGTAAAGTGGCTTGATTCCAGGCTATTGTATTTAATCTCAAATTTAGAATGTTTTCTAAAGCAATTTTAAAATTATTATCAATATCTTTTAAAATATCCGAACATTTCCAGACTGGACTTGAGCGTAACAAGTATGTAAATTTAGGTACAAGGAGACGATATTTTAAAATGGTAAGGGCAATATGGGGGTTTAAAATATATAATTTATCAACGTGATTTAAAAATTGATCAAATTTTGTTTTTAAAACAGGTTTAATACTATCGAAAAACAACGGAGCACCAAGCAGGTAAAGCGATTCCGAATTGACAGTTTTTATTCCTGGAGAAATCTGATTGAAATTTTGAATTAAGGTATCTCTGTTAGAATTAGATAAATTATTAGAAATAAATATTTCACATTTATTTGTATTTGGTTCCAGACCAATATTTTTAAAATTTTGAAAAATATGAGTAAGATCATTGAGGACGTCATCTGCTTTACCTCCCAGTGTACCGTCGTCCAGATACTAGACATTCAGCTTGGATTTTAAATTTGAAATAATAGGTTGAATTCCCAAACTGAAAATAGCTGGACCTAATGGATCACCCTGTTGAACACCGACAGTTTTGATAAAACAAGTTTGAATTATGACTGTAACATTGCCAAATGATATGATTATATTTCGGGGGTATTGTTAGCCACTTCTTTCAGCAGGGTTATCCTATCAATAGAGTTAAAAGCATTTCTAAGATCAACCTTCAGAAGAACATCTGCATTGGAATTAGTTAAGAAAGTACTCATCGAATGTACCGCCGCCTCACAGCCACCTTTGGTGCCAAAGCCTAGTTGAGTAGGTTGAAATTTTGTCTTAAGGTTTGAGATTATGTGCCTGCAAGCTAATTTTGAAGTTAAGCGTCGAAATGTAGAACCAACAGCAATAGGACGAATACCGTTATACTTTTTTTTGAAGGCACACAATCTTGCCCCATATAAGTAGATTGGGATTGACATTACCAGAAAGCATAAAATTACATAATTTTGTTATGTTATTAAGAAGTACCCTACCGGCGTCACCGGCAGATACGCTTACAAGGTCTTTGAGATGCTGAGGCGTAATCCCGTCAATACCGCCGGCAGAGCCATTCGAAAATGACAATATTGCGTCTAAAGTGTCTTTTTCGGAAACTTGTAATGGTTGCATAGAAGTATTGGGGGACAGCGGTAAATTCTGGGAAGGATTGACCGAAGGATGTTTCTGACGAAGGCCTTCAAGTGTATCGTCATTACGAGGAGCGAGGATGTCATCTGAGAATAAAATACGGGATGCATTTTTTAAGTCGCCGTCCATTACTTTTGAATCAACTACTTTTTTTAAATCAAATTTAGGATAAGGTCGAGAGAAATGAATATTAATCGGGTAATTCAAATTTTTAAAAGAATTTTCTTTTAGTTGAGACGTAATTGATTTATTTTTTGTTTTACTAAAATGAAAGTAGGAATACGCGAATGTAAATAATTTTTGCCAACTTTTTTCACAATTCGTTAGACAATTTTGAATAGTTAATGATAATGCTTTAGCAAGTTGCATCCTCGCACCTCTGGGAATTCTTTTAACCATTGGTACGTTACTATACAAATTGTTTCGAAAAAAGTGAAGAATTTGTGTCATTAGGTATATTATCAAAAGAGTTATGAATTTCTATGGCTGTGAAGCCGAAATATTTTTACTATGGCATCGTTTAATGTGTATATTTAATCCCTTTTTACCTTTAAACAGCCTACCGTCGGTACAATTTTGACACCGTAGGAAATCCGGCTGTGAATGTATTGGAGCGATAATATTCATAGAAAATGTAAAAAATTAAAAATGTAAAAATATATCTACAGCACTCAAAAGTCTATAATTTAGTACAAATCAAAATCTTGAAAATTAAAAGAAAAACCTAGTTCTTGAGCTTTGTTTATCGCCTTAAAGCAATCTGATATATTATAATAAATTAATATTGTGTACGATGAATTACCATGCATTGCATCTTGAAGAGACCTATAACTATAACCGCTTACAGTTGATGGTTTCAAAGCTTCTTTTGGTGACAATCTCAATAAAACGCCCAAGCATCTCAATAACAACGCGGCATTCGTTGTTTTCTTGGGATCAGTAGAAGTGTAGTGAGCATTGATTTTGTTACTTTGACGTTGTTTTATTTTCTCATTTAAGTGGCGTAAGCTAAAATAAAGCGTATAAAAGACATTGGCTTTAAAGCTTATAACTGATACTACAACATGATAATTGAACAGCAAATAAATTTTTAACATAAATTAAAAAAATTAATTATTTTTTTCTTCTCAGGTGAACGACACTGTGGACATCCAGCAGTGCCACCAAATGCAAGGGTGACCTTACCCAGCAACACTGACATTACTCCTGGAATGATAGCCACGTACGAGTGCGATGAAGGCTATGAATTGTTTGGAGCACATCAACGCGAGTGTACTTTGAGGGGCGATTGGACTGCTGAACCTCCATTTTGCGGTAAATTGATATGTTATATGTAGCTTTGTAGATATAGTATTATAGTACGTTGTAAAGAAATTAGTGGCTTATAATAGATTAAATGGAAAAATATGTAGCGCTTCTATTTAATAATAATGACTCTTTGGTTTAACAACGGCATAAATCTCCAAAAATATTATTGTTAAATCGAACAAGATATAAGATAGCTGATGCAAAGGGTGTCGTTTTCTTTGGTGTAATCTAATCTAAATTACCAGGTAAATCATTATTTGCCCACAAAGGCTTGACAGCAAAATCTTAAGATACTAATTGTTTTTTTATTTTGTCATGGATACTTATATCGAAGACAGAGTATCGGTTGTCTCATGAAATAAGTGGTACAATTTCATACTTGTTTAAAAGTTTGTTTCGAAGCGAAAAGCATTCCATTTACTGCAGCGCGAACTGAGCGAGCGAAAGATTGCGTAAAACTTATGGATAGGAAGTATTTAAAATACTTACGAATTGTAAATACTCATACCAATGGTTTTAAAATTTCTTATTATTGCAGAATTATTTACATCGGCCAATTTTTAAACCACGGCTCGCGAACAAGTTGCTAAAAACTCTGACCACAAACCTTCTTTTAAATATCGTATGGTTTTTATAATAATCCAAATAATAAACACGTGACAACTGAAAATAATAAAAACGCTGCGGTTGACAACCCGCCTGACGACGGTAGCGGTGGCAGTAGGCGATTTGTAGGAGGGCGTAATATAAAATCTAACACATATAATAAGTCCGTTGGTGTCGTAGGAGGCGAAAGATGAAAACTAACCTCCTCCTCTGTTTCCTCTTTCACTCCGGCGGCAGGATCATCCTGATAACGACCCAAATAATAAAAATGCGGTACTAACAATGGAAAAATCCCGCTTATAAGATAATCTATGGAGTAGACCTGTGATCAGAATTGGACTTTTAATAGGCTGCAATAAATGAAATAACGCGTTTATTTACGTTTAAAATAGAATAATGTTGAAGTCTATTCCCACAAAATACAATGAGTTTCGTGAGATATTTTTTTACATACGAAGTAATTAAATAATGTTTTTTTTTTTGGGAAACGTTTCGTTTAGGAAAAAAGTGGGTAGACATACATAGATGTTATGAGAAGTTTCGAGAAACGGAACTCAAATATTTATCTTTAATTGGCAACTAATTAACACAATTGTGGATATATTACATAGCAAATATTTTTGTACCTATTTGCGTTAATAAGACGAACTATAGGAAATATTTTACACTGCCATACTTCTTCAGTGTGATAACGGCGTAAGGGAATCACGCGATTTCGTCCCGTGAGTGCCGTAAGTTTGGAATTATGGAAAATTCTAAAAATGTCTTATGTGTCCCGATCTACGAGCACTACTGTTTAAGCCAGACGTAAGAGTAACGTGAACGGTGTGTCTGGTACTGCGATGACGAAACCGCTTCCCAAGCGAGACGTTTACGCTACATCTTTCCTGTACATTTTCTTAGTATAGGAGAGCCCTTGTTTAACAGCTTGGCAGGTGCGTGATTATTATTTTGATTTGTCATAGAAAGGAGATGCGCTGCCTGTCTTTTGTTACCCGTTTCGCCTCTTACGACACCCAGGGTATGATATGGGGTAGTCTATTAAGATTATTTTACACCGACACTACACGGGGAAAATTCTCCATTGCAATTAATTAAATACAAAAAGAAACACCAAAGAAATAAGCATTTGCTTTTTCTGTTGTTGCGAATTTTATAAAATGTTAGCAACAGTTGGTCAAAATGCATTCACATAGCAAATAATATCAACTATATCATACTACACATATAAATAAAATTGATGTGTCGGTATGAATATCGAAATAACTGCCTTATATCGCAGTATATAAGTAAATTATTTATACTGTGTTTAAATTGAGCTGAGGGTGCTATTTTCGTGCCACTGAAACATGAATAACCATTCTCGTACGTTAGCCTGTCAGTGTGTCCGTCAGAACTAGTCTTGAGAATGGCTGCACTGATTGTAATGAAACTTCACGAACAGATAGAGTAATGCCAGGAGTACTTAACCCTGTATTTTATACGAAAAACTACAAGATTTTTTGAAAAGAAAATAACAAAAAATTGTTAATAAAATGACACACATTAGGTGATGACATATCAATTTACTTTGCAATAACCGGCCAAATTTTCAGAGAAGGAAAAATTTATTTCAAAAAATCTTAAACATTCTGTCCTACTTATCTTATAAATTCAAAATGCTTGGTAATGCATTATTTTAACTGATTTTACTGCACACGCACATGTAAGTGTCGATCGGTAGGCAAAACGTTGTTGCTAATAAACCACATTCAATTTGGGTAAATACAAATAAGAGTAAAAGCCTTATTTACTTGTATTTTCAAAACTGCAATAACGATATATCATTATTTATAAATTTGAAATTAAATCTAAAATTTCAGTCAGAAGAGTCACTCAGGCGAAGCCGAGGCGGGCCACTGGTTACCTATACCCTAAAATAATGTATTTAATGAAGAATACGTTCAATTCCATTTTTTTCTTAGGTACCAACGTCGCATTTCGGAAGCCAGCGAATCAGTCAACGACTGTTCGGGGAGGTATAGCTGCTAACGGTAACGATGGCGAAAAGACCACTGAACATGATGGCAAAAGGTGCACGGAGACGCAACGCGAGGCCTCTCCATGGTGGCAAGTGGACTTGCTTAGGCATTACGCAGTCAAGGTCGTCAGGGTAACAACGCGAGGATGTTGTGGTAAGTGAGCAATCAAAATACATTATTAATTATTTATTCTATTTTATTTATTTATGCTTTTATGCACAAAGTAGTACTTATGGCGGACATAATGCCATAGGGCATTCTCTCCATCCTATCTATCTAAACATTGATAGAAATTTTGGAGGCGGTGCAGCAATAATCAATTAGAGAGGATAAAAAATATATATATAATAAACAATACATATATATATGTAAATATGAAATATATTAAACGAAAAAAGTGTTATTTCAAACTTGCAACGATTTAATCATATACTTACGGACTTGATTTTTAAAAACGAATTTGTTGGGAGCTTTTTTAATGTCAAGAGTGATGTCATACCAGAGTCTGATGGCTGTGAGGGTAAAAGAGTGAGATAAATAACCAGTACGGTGTAAAGGAGTAAGCAACTTAAGATTGGCCGGGGAACGGAGAGAAAAATTATGAGAATCTCCCAAGTATTGAAATTTAGATTTCAGATACTCGGGAGCACATGGATCGTTCAAAATTGTGAAAAGGGTGCAGAGTATTCTAACATATCTGCGCTGACGGATAGGCAGCCAGTTTAGCTGTGTACGAAAGGAAGATACATGGTCGTATTTGCGAAGACCATAAATATATCTGATGCAGTTGTTAAGCAGACGATCCAATGTATTAAGAAGAAGATAAGACGGGTCTGAGCAACACACATCGACATAATCATTAATCGGTACAATAAGTGATTGGACAAGTAAAATCTTGGTATTGGCAGGAAGAAAGTTTTTAAATCGATATAGAGATCGCAAAGTTCCAGTAGTTTTGCGACTCACCTCCTGTATATGTTTGTTCCATGTTAAGCAATCATCGATATACAGACCAATGTTCTTTATATTAGTAGAGAATGGTATGACATTATTATTAAACATAATTGATGGTAGGGTGGGAATATCTAGTTTAGACAATAATCTCGAGCTACCTAAGATTATCGTTTGGCATTTAGACGGGTGCACGTTTATGCCATACACAGTAGACCATTCTGAGATATATTTCAAATCATCATTTAATAGTGAGATAGCACTAAGGATATTTGAAGGTTCCACTTGCGCATATAACTGCAGATCATCAGCATACAGATGGTAAGAGCTTTTGAGATTTAGTGTGATGAGATTTATAAAAATGGAAAACAGAAGAGGAGAGATAATACCGCCTTGAGGGACGCTAATTGACACATCACGCCAGTCAGATAGTATATGACCAGTACGCACAGCCTGTTGGCGCCCTCGAAGATATGTTGAGAACCATTCCCGAGCTGAAGACGAGATATTCAAATGAGAAAGAAGAGCTAATAAGATACCATGATCGACAGAATTAAATTCATTAGAAAAATCAATTAAGATGAGAACGATCAGTTTTGATTTTTCCATCTCCTCACAAATGTCTTCCGTAACCTTGAGAAGAGCAGTAGTTGTAGAACGACCCGGGCGAAAACCAGACTGATAAGGTGAAAGAATATTCTTTGAGAAAATAAAAGAAGAAATCTGTTTATGAGCAACAGCTTCCAGAACCTTAGAAAGAAAAGGCAGGATAGAAATTGGTCTGAAATTAGATAAAGCGCTGCATTCAGTAGATTTCGGAATGGGAATAATAAAGGCTTTACGCCAGAGTGTTGGAAAAGCACCATTCGTCAGCGAAAAGTTAATTATATGAGTTATCACGGGTAAAACAGAATCCAGCACGTGCAAAACCATTACCCTACTCACATCATCACATCCAACGGCTTTCGATTTAATAGAGAAAAGTGCTTTACGTACCTCGTCTTTGTGTACAGGAGTAAAAATGAAAGTTTCATGGGAATAAGGAGGCATGGAAGATATAAAAGAGATAGCATTTCGCTCTAGAATTATCAGAAATTTTAAACGTCAGAGAAAAGGTGACGTTATATAGTTAAATTGCGATTTTCCATATCCATTCTAGTTGCGTATTCAGAAACTTCCATATATCAGCCGAAGATGAATTAAGTAGTTGTTCGTGATATAACGGCGTTTAGCAGCTCTTACGATCTGATTGCATCGATTTCTTGCAGCTTTATATGCTTGCCACTTTACATCAGTGTGATTCTTCTTAAAAGCACGGAAAGTTCTATCGCGTTTAGCCATAGCCATTCTTACCCCAATCGTGATCCATGGAACAGGAGGACATTTCAGTCGAACAACATGTTTAGGAGCATGTTCATTATACAGTCCCAATATGTTGCTGTTAAAGAATTCGACTTTTTCATCAACTGTGGGAGCAGAGCAGGAGCAGCAGCATATACAGATGACCAGTTGATAGCATCCGCATCGCATTTAAGCTTGTCCATATCTATTCTAGCTAGACTACGAATAGAGATGGACACAGATAAAGGCTTGGGAGACTTTAATTTATATGACAGATAAAGCAGGTCATGCTGTGAAAATTCAAAAGCAGGGAATTGTCTATAATTGACAACGTGATCAACGGATTAGACGGCTATAAGGTCGATCCAGGTGTCAGCAGAGTGGAAGTTGTGATGTGTTGCATTTAGAGGCAAAATAGTAAAATTGTGCGACAACATGGTCGACCTCAGTTTGAAAGATTTAAGAGAAACCCCGGATAGGTCAGTGTTAAAGTCTCCCATGATAACGTGATGTATGTAGGCAGAACTGTAAGGCGATAAATTTACTTCCAAATCGGAGAAGTAGTCCACTAGAGGTGGACAGTAGACAACTCCAAGAAACACTTTAACACTCTTGACATTAACTTCAACAAAAATGTATTCCATTGAACCGGAATGTAGGGAAGAAGATGGGTTTAATATTTTATAAGGTAAATTACTACGCAGATAGATAGCGACACCTCCGCCTCTTTTACCAGTGCGGTCGTTAGGGAGTAAAATATAACCCATTATAGGGTAGATATTATTATATAAAACAATATAGAATATTGCTGACCAAAATTTCAAAGTCTGGTGATGAGGAACAGCGCTACTATAACAAGGGTATCAACTATATAGTTTTTTTAATGGAATAAGGGTGACAAAATGGCTTATAGTCCACCTGATAGTAAGTGGTTACTGTGGCCTATAAACATCTGCATTTATCCTCGATTAAGAATCAAAACGCAGATGCGTTGTCACCCCTGAGGACTAAGATAGAATGCCCCGTTTCCAGTAGAGATGCCGCAAATACTCGCTATTATTTGGTAATCGGCATTACACGATTTTTTTGTTAATTTTCGAATATCGAATTATACCTAGTATTATTCGATATTTGGCAAATAGCTCTCTAAAATAAACTTTTAACAAACAAACAAACTATAGACTTAAAAATAATCAAACTTAAAATTTTTCTTAAAGGACAAAACACATTTAGTACTAATTATTATCATTAATATAAAAAGTTAGCCAAAAACCAGTAGGTAATGTTATGTTGAAGTTAATTGGTAAGACTTTTTAATTAATATTTAAAGTCCAAAAGTGGCAGATTGTGGTGTAAAAAAACTAGTTTTTCTGCACGGTGCACGATTGGGATTAAGTAACATGCGCTTTTGTTCATAAATCAAACCTGTCTCAAAAAATAGTCTTTCTGAATAAACAGCTTGCTGGTTTGATTAAGTATCGTTTAGCAGACTTACTAAGAATGGGGGATTTGGCATGATAGTTTTTTTTGAGTTGCACTAACTATTTCAGTCTTTACTTGAATTGAAATTTTTAAACAAAAATATCTTACTGAACTTGGCACTTGTACTCGTTACGAAAATTAAAACGATGGCCGATGTCACCTAAAGCAAGCTCGTCACAAACGAAATCGATTGGATGGGAAATCCCCTACAGTATTAAATGTGGTGTGTAAACGGGGAATACCTCGTTTTGTATACAAAACGGTGTTCCCCGTAAAATAGGTGCAAGAAAGGGGTTTCCAGCATTTAAATATGTAAAATCAGTATATGAAACTGATTTCTTTAACTTTATTGTTTTCTTTTCTCATAATCCTAGAAAATCTTTAGATTACAGTAACAAATAAATTATTGCTAAGTATAAGACTACTACAACTACAAGCGCAATATTATTGTTTTATAAGAATTAAATTATTTTTGTATTCCTTCTTTATGTCGAATAATAATGTCGAGTTATTCGATTATTCGTCGTAGAGCATGGTGATTAATCGGTATTTGACTATTCGCTGTAGAACTATTCGCTGCATGTCTGTTTTCCAGTAAAAAGGGACATACACCATACGAAACACAGCAGAATTGAGCTGCTATTTTACGGTAGTATCTGTGAGAGCGTGGTCCCCGGTCGAGCCGATCCATTCGTACTACAACCATAATATAGCTGTAGCATGATAGAACCTATCACGTACAACTAGCTATTTCTAGCTGATATAAAGTATTTAAAAAGGTTCTCATTTATCAACATCAGGATAAATTCAGTTTGCGTGATTTTATTTCTCCTTATTATTCTCCTTATTACGTTACGTGTTGCGCCCACATTCACTCATCCTAAAGTGTCGTTGCACTTACGAGTAAATGTACTCGATAAATTACCCAGCTATCAGGCTCTACAACATGCACGCAATATGTGAGAGTGCGCTGAAAGTATAAGAATACATCTATCAACTTTTTACTTCAGTCACATTTTAAAGTAAGGTTTTCTTGAATGAATGCCTATTATCATCGAAATTAACTATAAAAAAGGCCAATATCGTGCAGTATCACGACATACTTTCTAAAGTCAAAATGATACACTAATCTTACAGCTACTTTGAAGCTTGATATGAAAGCTTTTGATAAGTAATTGATAAACAAGATTAAAATATTTAACGAACAATAGACCTTTAGATAAAGATAATCTATTATGGTTGTAGCACGAATGGGTGGGCCCGATCGGGGAAGGACCACGCTCTCACAGAATACCAGCGTAAAATAACAGCTTAATACTGCTGTGTTTTGTATGGTGAATGTAGAGATCTGGAGATCCTTTTTTACTGGAAACGAGACATTCCAACTTAGTCCTCAAGGGTGACAACGCATCTGCGTTTTGATTCTTAATCGAGGATAAATGTAGATGTCTATGGGCCACAGCATCAACTTACCATCAGGTGGACTGTGTGCTTGTTTGTTACCTATATTCTATAAAAAAAGCACGAATGAGTCGGCTCGACCTGCGAGGACGACGCTCTCACAGAATATTAGCCTAAAATAGTAGCTTAATGCTGCTGTGTTTTGTACGGTGAGTATAAAAAACCGAAGACTTTTTTTACTAGAAACGAGGCATTCCATCTTAGTCTTCACGGGTGACAACGTATCTGCAATTTTGATTCGTAATCGAGTTAGATGTCTATGGGCCACAGCAACCACTTACCATCAAGTGGATTGCGTGCTCGTTTCTCACCCTATCCTATAAAAAAGGGACCACTCAATGTTAATAAAATTTATTTATAACTTCTAGTTGTTCCATTAGAAATAAGAAGAATAACGAAGAGCTATAGAAATACAATCATCTATTACGCATGATTATGATTTCTGTAAATCTACAGCCATATATGCTCTATATACTGTTGTAATCGCAAACATAAATTTTTAGTCGTACCATGGGCATTGGATACGCACCGTTGCGCGCGGCAACTCGCCTGTTCCCCATATTCTCACCGCACTTACTTAATGCTCCCCCGGACACAAATCCTGAGTGCGACCTGTTTGCGGATGAATGGACCGTAATATTTTCTGAATTCCTGAAATTTCGTGAGCGAGAAGAATGAATATACTGTCCTTAATTAATGTAATTGATTTAATCATTTTAAAAAAGGAAAAATATATAAATAAATACAAAAATGAATTATAATAATGTATATTAAATTTTATTAACTTATTTATGCTATGAACGTATACATTTCTGAAAAATTTTGACTCGTTGTTAATGGCGTTATTGGGATGGTATACCGAGACCGCAACGCTTGGCTAAATTGTATACGCACGCGCGCAAAAATTTGAAGTACCTGCCTGTGATATCGAAATAACTGCCTTCAGTCGAGATCAGAGAGTTATTTGCATGTCATTAACATATAACAATAACAATTTTTAATTCCCTATCTATCTGTCTATCCGAGCTAATCATCGAAAATACACATCTGCGCATCTTAAGTGACGTTAGTTACGGTTGTGACTTTTCAAACATCCAGTTGCTGTCAGCAACCCTGTCTGCAGATCAACCATCTAGTCCGGAGGCGCTAAGCGCGATCTCTGCTCTATGACATGTCTACTCCACGGTTGTCATTTGAAAACATAAAATATTTTTCAGGACTTCTTCGTCGGACCTTCCGGGATACAGCAAATCGTGCAAACAAAAGTCTTCGACTATTGCATCCTACTTGCACAAACGAGCCCTAACTGCGAACGAACTGAATCCGCCTATTGGTCTATTATATCATCAGTATGGAAATTTCCAATTACCTCTATGAGGAATATTCTGAGTCCGGGCTGTTTGTGGCATGTAAATATGTATATATATATATATATATATATATATATATATATATATATATATATATATATATATAAAGATTTTTCCGATTTTGATTGGATAGTTGTGAAGAACTGGTTGATAAGTAAAAAAAATATGCTTCGCAAATCAAAGCGCACTTAATACATGTACAAAATGATAACAAGGAGTAGTTTTCGTACCATTAGGCCGTTTCGACATTAGATCATCTCAAAATTATACGAGATCATATGACACGCCGTTGTTATACCGTATTTGATATCCCTGATTTCCGGTGCCCGATCCCCGGATCCCGTTCCGCTCAACACCTTATATCTGATTCACCTCATATCAGTTACACATATCGTGATGGGTAGCTTGAACATATTTCATACCGTATCATGAAACAATGATACGATTCGATACCAGATACGACGTGTATCTTTCCCCAATCACGAAAGGTACGCCACACCTTAGTCTTGAAAAGTTAAAGCATACGTAAAAAAGCGGTGATCCGTATTAGCTCAGATGGTTAACGCTCGCTGTAAATATAACAGAACGCGAGTAACCCGGGTTCGATCCCCGCCGACACCAATGAAATTGTTAATTGCAATTTTAGTGTGATTGGTGGTGTTTATTTGAAGGCAGCATTGAAGCAGCGCGACGGACACGTCCTTGTCCTAAAACCCTCTCAGAAATGAGGGGAGGCCTGTGCCCAGCAGTGGGACGTATATAGGCTGTAACTTTACTTTTTTACGTGTAAAAAAATCCGTATCGCCGTATCTGTATCGTAAAAAATTTATTGATACACTGATATAATATGACAAGGTTACGATACGATTTGGTGATACGTTACATTTGGACGCGTTTTATGATATCATACGACAAGTGATACGTTGTGTTTGAAATGGGCATCCATAAGTAAGATTATTTGATATGATACACTTGATCAAGATAAGACAAGATGATCAAATGTAGACTCAGCCTTATGTGCTTCCCCGCGTCGCGCATGTAACAGTGATTGGTCACAGTCGACGAGGCAATGTCGCAAGTGAATGCAATAGAGCTGACCGTAGACATGACATGTGTGGGTAATGCGTGTTTGCAAAACCGATCACTTTATAGCTTCGCCTTGTAACAAGTTGATGCTTTCTAAAATGTAATGCTTATACAGCCTTTGATGTACGAGTATGTTATGAGAACTGATTATAATCGCAGGAATCCTATTACCTTTGGTTGCCTGGAAGAGATCGCTATGTAGCGATAAGGCCGCCAATTGTACATGTAATCTGCTCTTTGTTATGTTCTTTGTAAATTTGTTTGTGGTGTACAATATACTTTAGATTCATTCATTCATACTTTACAAGTGTACTGATGGATTTTTCGATGCAGAGTTTAAAAAATACAAAACCGACTAGCGGAAGCTGTGACAAGCTCTGCCTGTTAAATCGATAGTAACGTCGTAAACACAGATGTTTTTCATATTTAAGTGGCGTTTTCAGACTTTTACGAAAGATTTTTTTTACAAAAGGGAAACACATAACTACACAGTCTATATAGCCACACATATCATCTATAAATCAAATTACAGATACTTTGTCACCCTTGCAGACTAAGATGAAAAGCCTCGTTTATCTTTAAATGTTACAGAAAAACAGAAAATTTATAGAAAAATTTTTTTCTTGCTTGTTTTATTTAATTACATTGGTTCTACAAAAAACACTTCATAACAGATTTGACCAGAAGCAGCTTCCTGCGTAGTTAATATTGTTGATCTCTTCTGACAGTATTTATAAGTATACATCCTAATCAAATCCAGGCAGGTTGAAATCATCATATTAGTGCTCCTTTACGGGATTTTATATTAGGGGCCTAGTCTTAACCGTTTTCCCTTTAGTTATTAATTTTGTAACAAGAGGGAAAGAAGGATTATTCGAACTTTGAACTTTGATTTGTTTGTGCATCGTCTTCAACTGGGACCAGATCCAAAATAAACATCTCAGCATTCATTATCTCACTATAACAATAAAAATCGTCATCATCATCATCATTAAAGTCTCTCACTAATCCACTGACGAAAATAGGTCTCTCCTAAAGATTGCCACAAACTATATGCAGAAATTTTTTACTTTTTTACTCCAACTTGAGAAGTATCTTCATTATACCCTGTTTACTAATAAGATGCTGCAATTTGAAAACGGTAGTTTTCCTATTACTGAATTGAGTTTCTAACGATTGACCTCTTAGTCGAAGTTGCTTTTACCTACTTGTAGTTGGAAATTTTATTTAAGGCTCACCTAAATGAGAAAGTTATATAACCATTTATCAGCAACAACAATTTTCTGACACGTCTATAATATACTCGTACGCCTACACTACGGGATAAAATTTAACGGATTCCCTTGCGCCGCCAGCAAATAGATCTTTTTTAATTGCCGTTTAAAATGTTTGCAAGTTGCATTTTAATAAGTAATACGTTTTATTTGCAGGTCACCAACCACTTCAAGATCTAGAAATCCGTGTCGGAAACAGCAGTACGGACTTACAGAGGAATCCGCTGTGCGCGTGGTTCCCAGGAACCATAGGTAAGATTACTTGTTTTTTTACTATCCGGCACATACATGCGTGTTTGATTGAGATGCGTGTACAATTTAATCAAGATGTTGGCAATCGCTATTTTTTATTTTGACAGAAAGAAATAAATAAAATATTATTGTGCGCCCAGCGAAGCGAGTGGCTATCAGCCAGTGAGTTGAATATAATAAGTAATAACTAGTAACCATTCATACTTATTTCATAAGTGGCATCAAATTGAATCTAACTAAATATTACGGATATTGTTCTGTAATTAGTTCATAAATGAATTTATCTCAGCACACAAACCTCGTAGTTATGATATTTTTTAAATCAAGCGGCTACCAAATTAGTATCGAAGCAACAAAATTGCGACCTCCTTACATTCGAAAATATATAAAGTTTTGGTTGAAAATTGACTATCTAACTCCTCACTTTTTACTTTTGACCTAGAAATAATAGTGTTTCCTTAGATAGTTATTATCCTCTTTGTTAACAGTTGGTGACAATCCAACACGTGATTCTTTCATTATAGAAATAATTCGTTTATAATATATTTCTTGACATCGGAGTGCAATTGTAATTATTATTTATGTATGTGAAACATCTCACGGTACGTCTCATGAGACGTTGCCACTGTGGGAATAACGATATTTATAAAAAAAAAAGAATCAAATTCGGTAACTTGAATCCATATACGTTATTCTGACTCACAACAAATTACGAAATCCAGTAGTAACCCAGTTATGTCGAACTTTGCATGAGAGTGAAGAGTATCATCGACACATTCGTTTGTGTTCTCAGTTAGTTACCTATTTTATAGGCCTAAAAAAAGAACAATGTTGACTGAACTGAATATATCGAAGCTTATACTTGCTGCTTGTTAAGATTATTAAATCAATGTTTTTCGTTCGACGAAAAGAAATTCGTAATAGGTATTTTTAATTATATCACGGCAGCAGGGCCAAACAGTTGGTCTTCATAAAACTACTTATATTGTAAAATTTTGTATGAACTTATTAATTATTTTGTAGTCGTAATCTCCCAGGTGATGAACAGCACTAAACTAAACTTAAATAGTAAACACATAATTATAATTTAGAAAAATAAAACTACTGTGGTCATTGATACACAATAAACCCTTTGTGTTTTTAATATATCAATGACTGTGGTTAAATATGTCAATAAATTGCGCGGTTCATGTGGGTAAGTCTGAAGCGTTATTTTGTAATTAAATAAAGGGGGATGTCCACTGTTCATAGACACTTCGGCCATGGGTGCCCACATATAAAAGCATATGGAAATGATAATATGCAATTACAATAATTAAATGGTTAAGGAATTGGTTTAAAAAAAGTCGGGATTTTTATGATATAAAGCTTTTTATTTTCACAAATACAGCTTTTTAACGACTACTTTTACCAATTTTATTGCTTTTAATTTCTTTAACTTTTAATTCCCGACGCGTGATTTTTCTTTTGGAGGCCTATGCCAAAAGGCACACCGAACAGAGGGACTTACTTTAACTAGTATTACAATAGGAACTCAAACACAAATATTATGTAACCTCAAAGTTCGGAAGTAAATGGCTGTATTATTATTATACTATTATTATTAATTCCTGACGTTTCAGGTGCTTTATAGCACCCATGGTCACGGGGTACTGAGGTGACTGCCATCCCAATGTCAGTATTGGGACATGGAGTACCCTCAGCTTTTTATTATTATTTTTATAGTCCAATCTACGCAGATTGAACTTACTCTATCTTTAAGTCTTGCAGTGGTATGCTTGGGGTTTGTTTTAATTTTATTAATTATAGTGTCCCAAGCAGGTGGCAGTACCCAACCGCCTTCTCTACTGAAATTAGGATGTTTTTTAATTTCAGTAGCCTCACATATCATCCTTGGTAGGAATTAATGTTCTTTAACGAGGATTTGTGGTCTATCAAATCTGATGTATGTCTATCTGGTTGGGGTGACACCCTTGACATACGGTAGTACAGCAGGCACACGCTCAACTGCGGTCGGCTTCACTCGGTCACTGTGACGAAGACGTGGGACCCGAAGCTTGATTTTGTGCAGAACCTGCTTGACGTGCTGAAGCTCCGCGGCCAGGTGCTTGTTCTCACAGATCCCATATGCTCTCTGTAACAAAGATTTGCTCATGGTAACTAACTGTGAAGGATTATGGTGAGATTCACCGCTTAAATATCAGTTTGTATGGGTCTTTTTTCTATACACAGTGTGACCTATGATGTTGTTAGGATTTTGGATAACAATAACATCTAGGAAAGCTAAGAAATTATTTGCCTCAGATATAATATCATAATTACTGAATAGAATTTGGCACAGAGAGTGGTAACGCTGGATAAAATTCATAGGAACAACATCCTGATTTAATATTTCTTGGGCCATACTCATGAGCCGCTCTAATTTGTTTCTTGGTACTTGCAATAATGCCTATATGCATTCATCACTATCTCCTGTTCTTACTTTTATCAAATATACAGCAAGTGCAAAGCATCCACTATGTTTACTTGACATTTTGGGCACTTCAGACAGAATTTATTGGCATTGTGCCTTTGATAAGCGTAGATAATAATGTACAGTATATTCGGGCATATTGTAAATATTTTCAAAGTCTATATGATGGTAAATATTATCTTACAATAATGTAGAAAAATCTATAATTTGTGCTACACTAAATGTTTTAATATGGTTATATATTAATTCTAAAAGTAAATACCAAGAGTTACTATTTAAATGGTAGTTACTGATTCTACATTCTGGAGGTACATAGTAATTGTATTCACAAAAATACATACCCGCAATGCTGATGGAACAGTGAGTTGATTGGAATTGTTACAACCAGGAAAAAATGCTGATGCTGCTAGATGATTTTGAGACTGAGAAAGAAAATGGCACAACACAAAATGAAAAATTGCTCTTCACACCCTAAGTAAAAAAAACATTAATTTTAATTTTGTATTATTATTAAAAAAAGGTACATAATTATTCATTAATCAACAATTGTATATAATTATTCGCACTAGGTAAATCAGCCTTATAATACTAAAATCTTGGTCATGGAATAAATAAACATATTTGTTCACCAATCAATCAAAAATTCAATTCATCAATCAAAAATCAAAATTCATCATCATCGACGCTTTCCAAAATCCGAATGAGTTCTGAGGAATCATTCATGTTGCATTGCTCTACTTTTCTCGGTAATCACTTATGACGTCATCAGGGTGTCGTCTATCCTTGATCACGGTGCCCAGTGAACTGATTTTCGATGACGCGCTAAAGATGCGCTAGAGTTGAGATATTAGATTTATTATGCGAAGATAATCTGATAACATTTTTTTATTCATGTAGCTAATTATAGTTTTATGTTTATAACCTTTAATTTTATTCAAATATCAATAATAATAGAAAAAAAAACACCATTGAGCTGAATTTTGGATAGTTTTCAAGAAATCTATGCCTCCCGCGTTTGACCCTAGCGGTCAACCATAGACGACTTTGGCGTGCTGGACATAGTATTTGCTTAGATAAAAATCCATTTTTATTAGTTCAATGTTTCTTAGTACTTGTGGCTCTAGAAGACTTGTTTTTTATACTCACATGTTGCTGGGTTATTCCTATTTTGAGGAGTGTAGAATTAAAATACCTGTAATAATTTTCCAATATCTATATTTCATATTTTTCGGAGCCGGGTTTTTTGTCAACTATAGACGTCGTTGGCGCTCAGGGCCCGCAGGTGTTGGTCAAGTATAGGCGACTTTGCCGCTCAAAAGGTTAAAGGATTCATGGTAAATCAGCTGGAAACTAACTTGTTTCGTTATCATAACATGATTCTATTTTAAATGTGTTGTTATAAACAGATAAGAATAACTTAACCGATCTTCTTTAAAAACAGATAAGAATAACAGTTCTTATCTGTTTTCAAAGAAGATCGGTTAAGATTAACAGTTAAATTGTGCCGTAGCATTTGTTACTCTCTAAAGAATTCATTAGAAATCAGCTAGTAATTCGCTTGTTTAATTATAGTAACATCATAATTATTTAAAAATTATATTAGCACTGTAATGATGACACCGTAAATAATCGATCGAAAAAAGAGAATCGATTTTTTAAATGTGTTTTGTGTTTGGCAACACTTTTTTTTTATTCACAAACTAATGACATAATGATTTACCTAATTTTTATTATTATGTTTCCGGTACTTTTAATTTGTGCAAAAATATTCCCATTGTTTGAGGATAAATGAATACCGCGATTAATAACCATAAATAAAGATATAATTTTTTAACAAATTCACATTGTTGGGCGTTCCATGGCCGAAAATGGGCGTCCCCCTTTAGTATGAAAGTGTCTTAGGACTTGGTATAATACACAGAATACTTTTACGCTGGAAAACTACATGTTTCCTGTGGGATAGATGATGTTAAGCATTTAGCAAATTTCTGTTATTCTTTCTTCACACTGAAATGGCTGAATGGATTTTATTGAAACTTCATCTAGAGATTTCTGAGTTCATGAAATCACGTATAACATATATATAATTTTAAATCAGAAAAACGCAGAGTTCTTCCGTAGGTTTTATTTTGGCACAAGTAATTTACATTGAGGTATATATAGCTTCATGACATCATAGATGCTAAACATTAATACAAAGTTCCGTAATAGTTCCCTCCCATCACATTATCAATCAATCAATGTCCAAAACGATGTCCCTAAGTACGGTCAAGAGCCACCCGCATCCATCGATTTCCCGTATCAGTTGCAAGGTCGGCAATTCTGGTGCCGCTAAGCTTCGCTTGCGGGTACGAGGCTGACACTCAAGAAGCTTTCTTCCTAATTGGTTGTCAGTTCTTTGATATACTATATGGCCGAACCATTTCTACTTTAGCTGATTGTCCGTTATACTATGTCGTTTACTCATATTTCTTAGCGTTCTTTGTTTTAAATGATATGGGTGACAAACGATCACACAGCCCACCTA